ACCCTCATGTCGTTCTAAACCCGTAAGACCTCCGTTCAATCTTCGGAACACAAATTAAGATATTTTGGATGAATTCTGAGAGCTCTCTGACCCTCCCATAGACAGCAATGTAATTACCACGATCGAGGTCCAGAAACGTAGCAAGGAGATCGGTAAAATAGTCCATGTGACATCAGGGGTTCAACTGTAATTTTACAAAGCTACAAGAATGCTTTTTGTACACAAAGAAAACAAAAATAACGACTTTATTCAACAATTCGTCTCCTCCGTGTCACCCTGGTGCCATTTTGGAGAATATCCACTGAACGTAAACAAAAACATGCTATTCTGTGTCAGCTGCGTCGCGCGTTGTTTACGCTTTGATTTGAACGAAAACAACAAGGATCAGAGAGTTCTCAGAATTCATCAAAAAAATATCTTAATTTGTGTTCCGAAGATCAACGGAGGTCTTACGGGTTTAGAACGACATGAGGGTGAATAATTAATGACAGAATTTTCATTTTTGGGTGAACTATCCCTTTAATTCGAAAGGAAAAAGAAAAGAGCCGAAAAGAACGCATGTCACACCTCTGTTCATCAATTTGCACTAGCTACCAGTAGCTGCTCGCATTAAATTCAAGGTGTGTGAGTGAGTAAGTGAGAGAGTGTGTGTGTGAGTGAGAGAGTGAGTGTGTGTGAAAGTGTGTGTGTGTGTGAGTGAGTGAGTGAGTGAGTGAGTGAGTGAGTGAGTGAGTGAGTGAGTGAGTGAGTGAGTGAGTGAGTGAGTGAGTGTGTGTGAAGGTGTATATATATATATTTATATACACCTTGCTACGTGTACTGCGTTAGGCTAACCGAGACTTGTCATTTGCACTTATATATTGTTGCTCTTTTGTTAGTTTTGACTGCTTTTATTGTCCTCATTTGTAAGTCGCTTTGGATAAAAGCGTCTGCTAAATGACTAAATGTAAATGTAATTCATCTGGAAGTTAATGATTCCCATGATTCAAACGTCACCTAACTTTGCAGTAAGATTAGGGGGCTGAAACAAACATTTGAGACCACTGAAGTGTGTCTAACCACCTGCCTGCAGTGAGACATTTGCACCTTTGCAGTTTACTCATATCAGTCTTAAAACTCCCCCTTTATTTGTTTCTCCACAGGCAAAACAATGAAAAGCCCCCTCCGTTGGAGAGAGAGAGAGAGAGAGAGAGAGAGAGAAAGAGAGGGATGGAATGAGAAAGAGAGCGAGTGAAACCGAGTGAGTCATGAGTGCAGCTTTGAACAACAAGGGGAAATCCTCCTATTGAGAGGCATGCGCTGTGGAAACGCATCACTCATAGAGGTAACGGAACCGGAGGCCACACACAAAGCAAAACTTTTAACCATTTATCTGGAGACCGTTTGACATTGTGTCATGCAAAATGGTAGCACTTTTAATAACAGTAAACTGTCATGCATTAGCAATGCAAACTACATTTCCTGAACATTTTCATATTCTTAGAGGATTTTGTTGCTTTTAAAAATGATATGGCATTTAAAGTGCATGCACAGGGCATAGTGCTCTTGATCGTTCAGATTAATATGCATGTTCTTGTCAAATGCGGCTTGAATTCTTCTGGGAGTGATACAAATTTGTGGTTTTTCACATTAAAATACTTGATGCTCATCAAGTAGTCAGCGCAGCCTACACAATGGAGCTATTTAGGGAAATTTCACATGAATGTCACATGTAGGTATTCACCCCTGTACTTTCTGTTGCAGCACTTGCGCTAGCACTTTACTCACAGGAAACTCAGGGGGAAGCTCCCCATCTAGGTTTAACATTAAAAAGGAACGTTTCCTGTTGCTTACCAGTGTTTCTCTCACATTGTTCTCATTTGCATGATTTCCACCCTGATGTTAAAAATCAGGGTTTGTAGGGCCCCAAGAGACACAGTTACATCATATAATTTGCTTTTGTTCTGCTTCAACAGAAATCACTATGAAGATGTCAACAGGAAGTGCATGTACTTGAACCTCATATATATATACATATATGCACTTCCTGTACTTAAATGTATATAAATACAAATTCTTTGACTTATTTTCTAACTGTTGTTATGCAGAGGTGATGAAATGTTAATGATGAATACATTTGATGATAATGACTATAAATTCGCTTTACACTAATTGTAGATAAAAGCACAGATTTAATGCATGAACATGTTAAAAAAAAGTTCAATATTTCTGAGAAGCCATGAAAATGACTGTTAAAATGTGACTTATTGTGGTCATTTTCAGCATAGCATATAATTTGGCACAGCAGTAATTTAAGGAAACCTCTAGGATGCTTAAATCCTGTACAAAAATAGTGAAATGACGTTCATTAACAGCTGGCTCAGGGTCAAAATCAGAGCTGAATGGCCTTAAAATGTGGGCTTTTGTTGCACTGGCTGAGAACAGGACAAAGCTGATTGGTGTTTGTTCAGGAAAATTAGCTATATTATGACTAAAAGAGCCATTTTCTTTCCTGTTAAATGCAGCGCCCCCAAAAAAGTGTTTAGACATTTAAGTCTGAATGTTATTGCATTAGATAATAAATTAAGAAACCAAGTAGTATTTCGAAAGACAGATAGCACAAGCAAAATATGTGATTTGAGTGTACAAAAGCATCCAAATTTTTTGCAATAATTATTTTTGTTTAATATCATAATTGTAGCCTGCTGTATTGTATCTTCAGCTTACAGGAGCTATATTTTTCATCTTCATTTTTTTTTTTTTTACATTTATTTTAAATGTTTAATGTTTCTTCACAATAGAGTGTAAAGCATTAAGCTGTGTGCCCATTTAATGTGTTGACAACCTCTTGCAAATCCATAAATTTGCATCTTAGATGCAAGCTTATGTTTCAGCAGAAATCAAATGTTGCTGCGTTTAAATAGACCGAAGTGTCAAGTGTCTGGTTTAATCAGCGGATGTCTTGACACAAAGATGGGTTAAAGGGTATTTTATGAGAAAGGCACACTGTTTATACTCTAACGGCTGTTTTGCTGAAATCAGAAGATTGTGAGTAATCCACCATGTGAAGCTCCCACCCTTTTACCAGAAGAGTTTAAAGAGTTTATCTTCCCATGCATGTTTGAGTGTGTTCTGATCTACCATCAGTCCAATCATCTAACCAAGTCTGACTGTGCATGACAAGAACATCCAACTAAAAATATCAACCACCACCAGTAAAGCTGGTCTGAAGATGAATGATCTGTGAACCTCTGAGACTTTCAATAAGCTCATGGTCATGATGTCTCATGATTCCTGTGCTTCTGCAGAACCGCACAAGAGATTCAGATCACTTACTGTATCGGTTGGATCATGCAGAAGGTAGAGATGAGCTGTTAGACACCATCACTTGTAAAAGGGGAAGCCCCCTAGCAAAAACAAGACTCATCATATGACATACATGACAGAAATGGAAGTTTTCGGTTCAAAAACACCCACCCATGAGAGGCCCGGGTCAAATTTAGCACTCATTTCTGATTACTGAAAGTGAACCTTTTTACAGGGGTGTTAATGTGTTTTCTCTCTTAATCTGTCTACTTCACTCATGCAAGACAAGTATCTGTATTATTATTAGTCATGCTTAAGTTTACTGATGTGAGCAAATCCTAATTAATAAAATTTGGCAATAAAACGGCCAAAAGAATGCAACAGACTTGCGCCGAAGGGAGGGAAATGTAGTGCCATATAGTGTAACCATGCACTTAAAGTATCTAAGAACACCTTAGCAACTGCATAGCAACAGCCTGGCATCATGACTGTGAGTTTTGCTCTGGCGAACTTAAAAGAAATTGCTCTTTATATTTACTATTATGTGTTACTATTGCAGCACATTAATTATGTGAATTTTGCATAAAACTGTCTACGTGCATTGCAACAGTGTGACTGATGAAAATGGTTTATGTACTTTGGAACCATAACTTTATGATCGCAAAGTAAATCCGCTATGATAGAATGGTTAGGAGATGTTACTATTTTCATCCAAGCTGCCTTTTTTGGTCACCCAGATTTCTCCGAGGTTTTCTCAAGGCTTCCATCTTAATCACAGACCACACATGCTGGAGAACGCTGAAATTACACCAAAACAAGGGCAGAGTGTCTTGTGTAAGCAGTTTTTCCTTGAGGTAATTAAAAATGTCACATAAGGGCTCCATTATATAGCCATGGAATTTCTCTAATGAGAAGTATGGGAATGCATAGTTACAGCAAAATAGAAAATGCAATGCATGCATTTATTGTGTTTTTCTGTTTTTGAGCTCCTGACAGTGACGGCTCCTGCTCACCATCCAGTTTCACAGTATGGAGAACCTCTGGGATTCTGCTAAACGTCTGTTTTTGTGTCCTGCAGAAGAAGTAGTCATACAGCTTGAGGGTGAGTAAAGTATGACAATTTTCACTTAAAGATGAATTATTTCTTTAAAGCACACCAGGTTTATTCACATTCAGGCTGTTATAGCCCACAGTAAAACACATGTTCAGACTTTGGGTTGGCCTCACAGTTGTGATTCTCTGTATTATGAGGACACCGTGATCCCTCAGTAGTTGTTATTTTCCATGTGTGTCTTCATGTACAGTATGTCTCTGTACTTGGATGAATTTTCCTGGGCTGAGGTCCACGTGTCTGGGATCACACTCTCACATCTGATTGGCTGGAATGAAGGGATTTCTCTGCCCTCTGTGTTCAGCCACTCAGTGTCCACATGCACACATGCATTCAGAAAGTCTCTTCAGCTTAACTGGAGAGAGGCGAGTTTCTAGGAAAAGCCTCACAGAACGTCTCCATTCTAGCCAATGATTAACAGGTGCCCGAGCTGAGCAACAAAAACAGCACTGGGGAACTTTCTAAGTTGTTTGATACAACCTTTGTGTTTTAGAAACAAAGAAAGAGAATGGAAGGAATTTGAAATAATGGTGTAGTTCTGAGTGATTTTATTCTTTAATTTTTTTTTCATACATATTAATAATTTTTTATTTAGTCATTTAATGTTTTAATTAATGTTTTGAATATTTTTTTACATTTAATTTGAACAATTTAGTCATTTTTATGTTATTTTTGTAGATATTTTATTACATTTAATTATTCAATTTAATTATGTAGATTTTATGTTTTGTTGTATGTTTTTATTCTATTTATGGATTTATTTATTTTTTTCATTTTTTATTACATGTGAATAATTTTTATTTTATTCTATATATTTATTAATATTAATATTATACTAATATTTAAAGGGAAACCTGATATCTAGTGAACAGAATTTAGAGATTTGGTTAAGCTCTTTTGGTTTCACTTAATAAGAAATCGCCTAGAAAGTACACAGCAATGAAAACACAAAGAACAACTTAGAGACCACTTATCATCAAAGAAAAATGACTGCACTTCTATTTATTTAGGTTATTTTTATTTATGCTTTGGCATTGTCTTACATTATGCTGAAAATATTAAGTTTTTTAATTGAAATCTTATAATCTAATCATTATAACTAATTGTGTGATGATAGAGAGTATTGAAAACAGCTGTACATATATAGTGAGTATATATCAGCTTTGTGCTGGCAAAAGAGGTTTTGAATCTCAGCTATACGATACACACTAGTGTTACGTAACAGTTAGTTCTCACAGTTGTTCAGCTTGTGTCTTGATGAAGTGTAGATGTGTCCCGGAGCTGCTGTGCAGAACAGAGCTTACATTGACAGCGCTAAAATGCAGTTATAATTAGTTTGGAAGAGCAACTGCTTCTGTATTCACTCACACACTCTCTCTCTTCCTCTTTCTCCCCCCTCACACACCTTGACCCTCGGTAGCATTCTTGGGGGAAGGGATTAAAGCCTGAGAGGGGGGTTGGAAGGGCAGAACAATTACCCTGAAGAGGCGTTGGGCCAGACCCCTGCAGGTAGAGCTGACAGGGCGAGACCTCAAGCTGTCATGAGCTATTAGCTAGGCAGAGACGGCCAGAGAACACACACTCAGATGGAGCAACTATATGAAGAATAGCTCTTTTTCTGCTGGACTAGTCTATGTTCAGCATACTGCTTGTACTCAATATGCACTATGTGTTGCAAGTGCAGTGTGGACTACATTCTGCATGCATACTACACTCACCAGGCTATACAGCAATATCCCTTCTTCAAAAGATGATTGTGAAGTGCAATATACATAGAGCCACAAACTTTAGTCGCTCAGTCTTCTCTATAAGAGCTGTCAGTATTTGGAACACACTACCAATTAGCATTAGTCAGTGTTCCACCTTAATTTAAGTTATGACTGAAAATATGCCTGAAGACGAGCCAAATATGTGATCATTGAAAAACTTTTTTTTTTTTCCAATCATTATTCATTAACATTCATGTATTTTAGGTGTGTTAGCATTTATTACAATGCAACTTGCTTGGAATTGTATTAGTACTACTTGTAATGTGTTTTTAATATTAGGTGTGATGCTTTATGTTAATTAATAATTGTTTTAATTATGCCATATATTGCTTTTTTCCTGCCCATGGACTACAAATGAATGTTAGTAGCATACCGTTGTTGTCACTGCATACCACTAGACATAGTATTTTTTGAAAATATTTAGATGTATTCTGTGCAATATGCTAATATTGTATTCAAACGCAGCCTATGGAGAGTGTTTATTATCATTCCAGCTATATACAGGTATACAATTAAACTAAATATTGCAATGCAGTTTACAAAAATGACAACAATATTATAAGGACACACTGTGAGTAATACAATTACTTTACTAAACCATACACTGAAAATAGTAGATTTTGTCTATGTTTTTCTGTCAATATGGGGTGCTGTGTGTACATTAATGAGGAAAAAAAATTAACTTAAATGATTTTAGCAAATGGCTGCAATATAACAAAGAGTGAAAAATTTAAGGGGGTCTGAATACTTTCCGTACCCACTGTATATACATATATATGTATATATTCTTCCATACTCTGTGTAGTCTTTTTTTGGTCTTTTTACCACTTTTATGAGAGAGGACTGGAAATGATTTGGAGAGAGATGGAACAACATGTCTTTAAACCATGCTTACAAGTTCAGGCTAAACTTATAACCCTTAAAGACCTCATATAATCTTACCTCAGTTGCCTTTGACCAGGTCACACACTATGTACAAATGTGGAAATTGCCTCTATTAAAGAATGACCAACCTTTGAACAAATATACTGGGTGTGTTTGTGTCAACAGAATGATGTAAAACTCTAAAATCCTGTGCAACTCTTGCACACACACAAACACACGTGTACCGTAACAACTTCCCTTGTTAGTGAGCAGAAAGACATGATGCTTTGCAATATTTTTTAATGTTGTACTTGTTTCCGCTACATCAAAACGCATCTCTACAGCTACAAATGAGCATTTCCCCATCCGTCACACCTTCTTGTTACTTCTCTTTTCTTCTCTTTACTGTACGTTTCTTGGTTACTTCCTCTTTTTAAATTCCTGATTCTGAAATATAAGACGAATCTCACAGGTTTACAGTCTTATCATGTTCACATTCAGCTCTCATTGTGCTCATTAGCCTGTTTTAAGCACAGATGTGTTTCTCTCAGAGAAATGAAGGGAAAGAATGCTGTTGCACAGTAATTTAGCCAATAAATTCTCAATGAACTATTTAAGCCTGTGGGTAACTAAACTTAGAGAAGGATCTACCACTTTTTCTGTAAACATTATAGTATAGATGGTATAAGACCAGACAACCTTTATTATTTATCATTTTGATTGATACTATAATTACAGAGTAGAATACTTAATAAGTGTTAATAAGTGTAATAGGGAAAAAATAATTCTATTTAAAATATTCTAAAAAAATAAATTTAAACATATTTTGGTTAAACTTTCAAATGTTGAAATATATAAAAAAATGTACTTAAAGGGGCAAGAAAATACACTTTCTATTTTACAATGAATTTTTAATAAATGTCTTTTTAATTATGTTTTGAATAATATATTCTATTTTTAAGCATAAACTTAACTACATTTTTTTTAATTTGAGATTTATGCTTAAAACAAGGTTTTCTGTGTGCCCTAACCTCTCTTCATGTGTACGTACATGTGCTGCAGGACATTCCTGAGATAACAGACATGCACACCTACAGGAGCTCAGGGGTGAAGCCCCCCATGGCGACGGAAACGGCCCGAGGAAAGGCCTCATGCTGGAGGGAGATGGGCCCGGCAGCTCCCTCAACAATGGAAGCTCTTGGAAGATTCTAGGAAGGTCCTGTGATTTACGATTCAACTTTTTCTTGAATGCCGCTTCACTCCCTGTTCACTTTGAAACATGGAGCAGTTTCTCAAAAAGTATGTTCTTTGCGTGCACATGAGACTGTGATACCCGTGTGACCCAACCGGTCGAGCGGCATTTTGGCACCCTCAGCAAATAAAAATAAATATATTGTGCAAAGCAGCTAACGTGTCAACACAAGCTTTTACCATTCCTTTGTCAGTTTAAAAGCTTTTATGTGGGATAATCTTTCCGACACAATTTGACATACTTGAAATAATCCACATAAATTCCATTAATGTTTAAAGACACCCTATCAGCTTCTACGCCTAATTACCCCGGCGCTTCTCTCACTGTGACTGGACTCTCATTATGCTCTGAGGGCATGAAGAAAAGGAGGTTTAGCATCCACAAAAGAAAGAACCTTCTTATGCCCTGGAAAATGGATACACGGTGACCTTTAACCTTTGGGGGATTAGGCTTCATTAGGGGGTGACCCTAAAACCTCTGTTCACCCGTATGCTCATCTCTCTGGGATTAGAAATCTTTGACCAATAGGTCCATGGAATTTAAAAGCAGGTTATCAACGTGTAGTGTGTGTTGCTACTAGTTTAATTGTAAAGAAAGTCACAAATAGTGATGGTAAACAATTTAGCTTCACCATAAATATTACCATCTCTTGTTAAGGGAGAAGCGATCAGTCAGCAGAGTAGACGGGAGCGCATGAGTATTTGCTTAATACTTTGTTTCTACATCTGTTGTTTTAACTTGTTACTTGCTGCTAAGAAGGTTTATTTCGTTCTCTAGCTATTTCTACTGCTATTTTTCATTGTAATTTGTATTTTTGATTGCACTTTATTTGTAATTAGAGTAATAGCCGTCAGCTAAGAAGGAGCTTTTGTTATTTATATTGCTCCATTCCTGCACTTAAGTGCGAAATTTAGTTTCAATTTGAGCAATTGCCCTGCTATAGGCTTTTGGGTGTGCTAATTTAACAAGGCGGCCACAGCTGTTTTCTCTGAAGTGTCGGGTGGCTGTGTGTTTGTTTGTTGTCTGTCAGCTGAGGCGGAAGCTGGATGGTCTGCTGTCCTCATTCCCAGAGGATAGCAGTCCACTTTTAGTCTTTGGCGACTTTAACATTAATCTGGACAAGCCTTATGCTGCAGACTTCCATTCACTCCTAGCTTCATTTGATTTCAAACGCCTTAACACTACAAGCAAGCACAAATCAGGCAACCAACTTAATTTACACACGCATTGTACTGCAGACAACATTTTGGTAAAACCTCTACACATCTCTGACCATTTCTTCATTTAATTTAACCTACATCTTCCTACCTGTGTGCCACCAACCCCTCTACCTGTTACTTTCAGACGAAACCTGCGCTCCCTTTCACCCTTCCATCTTTCCTCTGTAGTATCCTCCTCTCTTCCTTCACCTACCCATTTCTGATCTCTGGCCGTTAATGCAGCAACGGACACTTTATGCTCTACTTTAACTTCTTGTCTAGACTATATATGTCCTCTCTCCTCCAGGCCAGCACGGGCTACCCCTTCTAACCCCTGGTTATCCGATGTTCTTCGTGAGCATCGGTCCAAACTCAGGGCAGCAGAGAGAAAATGGTGCAAATCAAAAGATCTGTCTGACCTGAGTATGTATCAGTCTTTGCTTTCATCTTTCTCTGCTCAAGTCCATACTGCCAAATCTTTTTATTTTTACAACAAGATCAACAGCGCTACAGACACACGTAACCTCTTCAAAACATTCAGTTCTCTACTCTGTCCCCCTCCACCACCTCTCACCACTTCTATAACAGCTGATGATTTCGCCACATTCTTCACAGACAAAACTAGAACAATCAGTGGTCAGTTCTCAGCTCCACACACATACGAACTCAAACCACACAAATGTTTTGAGTATTCTTAACTTATCAGGTTTTACAGTGCATCCATGCCTAAAATTTCCCCCTTCTCCTTCTGTCTCCTCACTGAGGCAGAAGTATCCAAACTTCTCCTCTCCAGCCATCCTACAACATGCCCACTAGACCCAATCCCCTCACACCTTCTCCAAGCAATCTCCCCTACACTTTTACCAGCACTCACACACATCATCAACACCTCTCTTCTCACAGGCACTTTCCCCACTGCATTCAAGCAGGCTTGGGTAACCCCACTGCTCAAAAAACCTACATTAAACACTTCACTTACAGATAGCTACAGACCTGTCTCTCTCCTTCCTTTCATAGCAAAAACACTCTAACAAGTTGTTTTTAGGTATCATTATTTCTTAAACAGAACAACCAACTGGATCCTAACCAGTCAGGCTTCAGGAGTGGCCATTCAACTGAGACTGCGCTACTGTCAGTCACTGAAGCCCTGCGGATTGCAAAAGCTGATTCCAAATCATCAGTTCTTATTTTTGCTGGATCTATCTGCTGCTTTAGGTTAATCAACAATTACCCCATCAAGTTCGGTCAGAAATCTTGGTGTAATCTTTGATGACCAGCTGACTTTAAAAGACCACATTGCAAAAACTGCTAGATCTTGCAGGTTGCATTGCACAACATCAGAAAGATCAGGCCCTTCCTAACGGAGCATGCTGCACACCTTCTTGTCCAGAACCTTGTAATTTCTAGGCTGGACTACTGCAATGCTCTTCTGGCTGGACTTCCATCATGCACAGTCAAACCTTTACAAATGATTCAGAATGCAGCGGCACGACTGGTCTTTAACGAGCCCAAAAGAG